GCGTTTTGCCAGCGACCGTAAAGAACTCCAATCCAGCCGACCATGTATTATTCGGCCCATTTGTGAGATGCTCACGCACAGAACATACACTCCCGCACTCCGATCATTCGCAGTGCTGAAAGGTCAACACGCGTGTGCTTCGGAAAGGCACCGCACGCCGTTGCTCTCGGTCCTCTACAAAATGCCGAGACAGCTGGCTTCCTCTTTGTAGCCCAGCACACCCTTTACAATTCGTTTCAGCATGTTATGACAAACAATTGCTAAACTCTTGCAATCACCACAAGCCATGCCATAGCAACGGTACCAGGTGATTTTCTTTTTGACATTGCTAACATAACCCCCAACCACATTTGCATAGATGTGCATTCAATCACTGACCAATGTGGAGATGCCAAACACAATATATAAATCACACTCAGACCAGGGAATGGTATTTATATAACTTGGTTTTACATCCAGATCATACCCATTTCTGCCCATTTCTGCCGGATTGCGACCAGATGCAGGTCAGACGGGCCACTTCGCGCCGTGTGCCACGGTGCCAAGACACGGTGCCATCGTCGTACATGACCGAGACTGAGATGCGCACGCACGCCGCACGCCTTGGGCCACAGTGGATCCAGGTGAAGTCCTGCCGTCCAGTCTGATCTATCCTTCTCAGTTGTGATTGTGCTAAGATTCACCGGTTTTACGTGGACTTTTCCAAGATCAATCCTTCGCAGTCGATTTTAAGGGGGAAGGCCGCCTCTTGAGATGGAGTTCACGGGATTCATGACGAGGGAACGATAAAGAAGGGAGCTCCCAACGGGACCCAACCGGGCTGTCGACGTCGCCCAGGTCAGGGAACCTGACGGATTCCGAGTTCGGATTCCATTCAGTCGGTCGGTTCTTCCAGGGTTCCCGGCGCTGGCTTTCCAAAGACCATACCCGGCATGCCATTGCACAAGACACGGTCCCCTGGCAGCGATGGGGCAAAACTGAGTGCCTCCAAGCAGAAGTACTTACAGTACTAGAAATTCTGTAACACGGGAGTGGTCAACCCCGGCAAATAGTGCAAGAGTTAGTGATTATCCATCTCAAATGTTGGCGCTTGATGTCTCTTGAAAGGCCTCCAACTCCAACGAACACAGGGATCTGCTCAAGAAAACCAATCCGACAGCTGGGTTTTCCTGCTGCGAGTTCGCAGATCACCCGTGTGGCACCGTCTGTGTCAACATCTGCCAAATGCGTCGCACTGGATATGCCAACCTTTCTGGATATCTTCTTGATTCTCATGCGTTCCAAAATGACAGATGACGCATACTTTAGGTGGATGCTTGCCGCACAGTTCATACCCCGACTGGACCTAGGTCTATATCCTTACATTCAACTTTGAGTACCATCACCCTGCAGCAATAAAAACACACCCACTTATACCCACTTATGTCGTACGTACTGCAATCCTGTAACATAACACCTGCTTTCATCCCCGGTCGGATGTCACTCTGATGGCTCATCCAACCTGATGATGGGCCCAACCGACACAACTTCGAGAAGCACGGATTACCCCGCTAGAACCCAGGAAAAAAGAACAAGGCTTTGCTTTCACCTTCAAGAACTGCACATGGTTTTCCCGCCACTTGTCGCTAGACTTGTCGTTCGGAGTCCCAAGGATTCCCGATGATCCCCCCCGGTGTCATGAGGTCTCCCTGGCCCCGGCGTAGGACGTGGGTCTTACGAATGAACGCACGTAGTCCAATGCGTGCAAGTTACCAGGCTGTTGGAATTTGAAGGGCATGTATTGGATATAAATATATATATATAGGCTGAGTGGCTGTATTACAAGAACACATGCACAAAACATCACAAAACAAGCCGTGCTAAGCTTGCGGGGGACCCAAAAGCTAACCGCTAACCTCTCTGCAAACCAGTGGATTTATAATATAGCCACGGCACATCTTTACAGAACCTTCTGACCACCAGGCGTCTTTTGGAAAAGGCACCATGCTTCTCACCCTGCCTCTATAAAAGCCGCCTGCAAGCTCGTTCATCTCAACCTGACAACCAAGCAAAGTTTAATCATTTCGGAATTGTAGTGTTTTCAAAGGTCCGTGAAAAAAACTATGCCGCATTAACTATGCCAGAAGCCGGACACGACAACCCTCTGCAGCTCCACAATGCTCCACCAAGTAAGTACCCAGTGAATATACAAAAAAATTGCTATAATCTATCTGGCAACATTGACTCGCAAAGAAACTTTCTCTTGGTTGCCAGGGGCTAGGGGCAGGTACCTCTCTACTGCTACCAGCCACAATACAGCCTTGGAAACTGGCAACTGCACCTTCTCCATCCTTTTCCCAAAACCAAGCAACGCCTCAACGAGTGCATGACGCAGCGCGGCAGCGCAACACCACTAGACCTCTGGAACCGAGTACGTGGTGCTATGTGCTAAGTTGAGTAGTAAGTAACTGAAGTCACGCACAAACCTCGGGAGCTTCAACCGGGCGGTGTCCCCGTCGCCTCGCCAGACGGTGCCGACACCCGGGCGGTGACCCATCGCTGGAGCCGAGAGTGAGAGACACGGAGGGGCGCGACGAAAGACACCGTTCGGAGGGCGCTGGGTTTCCAGAAAGACGGATATTCCTCTCAAACAGGTGGCAACTAAGTGGTGCTTGAAAAACTTCCATGTTAGTACTGAGAGTCATCAAGAGCTGTTGAAGTGGCTTTTGATGAAGGATCGAGAGGAAAAGTAATACAATACCATACAGCACTTCTCATCCTTCTTCACACCAGAGGCAAGAAACATCTGCCTTCGCATCTTTCATGCCTTCAGCCATAGATGTCTGCAAACCTCCACGACCAATGGTAGGGTGGCATCCGCCCAAACAATCGCTCTGAGGTCTGTGCACAGCTGCGAGTTGTTGCCAAAGCTATCCACAGTTCACGTGAGCCAAGGACTTGACGCCCTGCCTGCGTAGGAAGACCTGCGGGGGGCGGGGAATCCATGACTCTGGCCGTGCTGCTACTAACATCTATATAAGGAGTGTATTTAAAGTGAGTCGGCGTCATACGGTACCATACATACATGATGTTCCTGGCAGCTTCCAAAGCCGAATCAAAGATGACTGATGGGCCACCCTATGGACAGTCTTCTTCTATTCAAAGGCGGTCTTCCATGGCCTGGGGGCTTGGGTGGGGGAAGCACATTCCTCGAGGGGTGTGGTAAGCCTGCAGGGTGAGGTGACTGCTAATTGGCTAATTGGCCAGCAACAGTGAGGCTGGTACAAAAGAAAACCTGAAGCACCTGTGGTCTGTGGCAGCTAGCAAGTTCTCACAACCATCCCGTCCCAAGTTTATAGAAGTGGTTTCTGTAAGGAATTTCTGAACAACAAAAGAATCAAATCAACTCGAGGGCTGCCATGTTCTGGAAACGATAATCTACAAACAAATCAGAACAACCTGACCTAGGCTCTCTGCGACATCCCTGGCATCCGGGCAGCTTAGGTCTTTTGTCGTTGCAACGCCGCAAGGAAACTTTCTGGGACACACCCACGATGGCATCTGTCAGAAAGGTGTGAGTGGCTTTCAATCTTTGCCCGAGACATCTGGGCGGCACCTGCATCAACGTGCAGAAAGGCCCCTCCCTGGTGTGGATGTCCAGGTATAAGCAATGATCATTCAACACCCCAAATGGCTGGCTATTCAGATACTTAATAATCATATTCCAGTTGGTTACTTCAGGACTTCAGGATTATTCTATCCATTGAGAATGGTTGCATAAACAATTACAGTACTGTGACAATCAATAACAAAACAACACGCCACGGCGATTGCGGGGGGGGAAGCTGGCTTCGCGAGTGAAGCTTGGAACCCACGTGGAGCGGAGGAACTCAAAGGTGCAAACGTAGCTTCCCCCTCCATCCAACAGACCTATTGAAAGGTCTTCTCTCCGTACAAACAGACCTTTGGCACAACAGACCTTAGAATGAATCTTAATAGTTTTGGACACACATGGACTCGGACACACCGATTTAGGCCGTGCAATTTCTCGTGGTTCAAGCTATGCCTTGTTACAGCTGAGCCGGCAAGTGGCCGTAGGCGACAAGAGTAGCAAATTGGTTTGGCTTTGGGTCAATCGCTGCGTACAAAGGGGAGGCCGTCAAATCAAACTGGATTTTAGAAGAGCGTTGTTGCATGTTGTTGCAGCATTGTTGCATACTTTGAAACCCTTCAAGAAATCTTGCGGTGAAGACATGAACCTTCAAAGGAACTCCAAACATCTTGAAACCAGTTTGAGTGCGGTTTGTTCACGTGCTCTACGGTTTCCAAAGCTACTGTATGGTTGAGTAAAAGCTCACTCATCTCATCACCAAAAACACGTCAAATGAGCAAGAAACCTCTCGTGAAAAGTTCATAGTTGTCTCTGTGAAACCGCAAAACATTCACAAAAACAATAGTGAATAGGGTTATGTCGGGCAAGCCAGCCATAGATACAAGGAGCCAAAATAGTTTTATAAAGCAAAAACAAAGCAAAAAAAAAGCAAAAGGCAAAGCAAACAAAAAAGCAAAAAAATGTAGCTGTGCGTATTTGTCGCTTTTTTTCACTTTTTTTTCGCTTTATTTTCGCATTTTTTTCGCTTTATTTTCGCTTTTTTTTTTTCGCTTTTTTTCGCTTTTTTCCTAGGAGGGTACAGCAAAAACATATTTGTCGCTTTTTTTTCACTTTTTTTTCGCTTTTTTTTCGCTTTTTGTTCGCTTTATTTTCGCTTTTTTTTTCGCTTTTTTTTTCGCTTTTTGTTTTGCTTTGTTTTTGCTTTTTGCTTTGTTTTTGCTTTGTTTTTGCATTTTCATTTGCTTTTATTTTGCTTTTTTTTCACTTTTTTTTCACAAAAAAAAATATTTGATGGTTGGCCATGTATGGCTGCCATCGCCCAACATAAGAATAGGGTTTGACCACCCAACTGTAACTGTCTGGTCTGAAACGCAACATGTGGATCATCCAGCCTTGTGACGACCGAAGGCTAGGTGTCCTCGGCTTGATTCAAGGCACTGCTGCTGACATTGCTCCTGTGCAAAAAGCAGGAAACATGCTGGTCGTTGCTCCCTTCCATTCATCACCTGGAAGCCCATTGAAGAAACTCAAAGGATGACATCGAACTCCAAAACATCGACAGGGCTGGATGCTCAAAGCCAAAACGTCGACACTTGATGGGGGCTCGTTCCATGATCTGGTGGACTTAGTCCGAAGAGTCTCCGCCGGGGGGTTCTTCCCCGATTTCCCCCGCGCCATGACCTAAAACCACAGAATTGGATGCCGCCGGTGCCTTGGAATTCATGGGATGCCTTGTCCGTGTTCATGATCTGTGATACAGTTGTGCTCAAGCGTTCATCACAAACATCCGCCCTATACCTGGGTAGAAAAGTCAAACCATGAAATTGGGCGCATCACTCAGTGGATCGAGCAACAAGAAGGATTCGTCTGGTGTTCGGTGTATCGTGTAGGGTTTGAGTCTTGCCAAGGACTCATCATTGAACATGTGAGTCGTCTAAATTGTTCAAGGAAAGGATTGCTTGGTCTCAAAAGCCCCCCAAGTTTGGCTCGTCCTCTAAGGCTTGTTTTGCTGATTCGCTCCACTAAAATGTTGGTCAAACAACCACTGGGTCTCAATGCCTTTGAGCCGAGAACTAAAACAACCTTTTCTCGGTGGCCAGTGGGGTCCCACACAGAGTTTGCCGGAGCGTACACGCAAAACGAAGCATATTGTCGGCGATTCTTCTTCTTCTTCTTCGGAGGCCGTCCTGAAGAAGAACTTGGGATTCTTCTTCGGTTGGATCATGGTCTGCCGTTTCCGTCCGTTGAGGTTGTTGTTCCTCAGCAAGCTGGACGTGTCGCAAGATCGCAACTAAATGACAAAGTCTTCTTTTGCCCTCTTCATCTTCATAGTCGTGAGAGCAACCAACAACCACCGTAATGTTGATCGACATTAGGCTGTGGGATCGTAAGGCAGGCTTTGCCAGCGGCTTGGTGGTCTTTCCTCCCATTTGGATAGGGAATAACATTGGGCGGAACGTGTTGTGTATGGTTTAGCAGGGACATTTAGGTGCACACCCTGCATTCCGAGAAATTCTGCCGTTTGACTCCCAATATCCTCTAAAGGCTACGAAGGTCCACGAGGGTACCCGGATACCCGGTGGGTTGACGTCTCTCACTGCCTCACCTGGTGAGAAACGAGTCAGGTAATACCTGGTGTCAGCAAAGGTGGTCAGCTTTGTGGAGCCATCAGTGTGATAGAAGCCCAGTTGATCCACTTCGTTCTCCCAAGAGCAAAAACGACGATAACTGCATCTCCTCAACATCATCTCTGCCAAACCCCACTAGATCCGCAAAGAAAGCATCCATATAGATGGGCTTTCAAATGACTCGTTTTCAGACCATTTCATCAGTGTTGGTGGACCATGTCATGCCCTGCCCCCACGCAGCCCAGGCGGCCAAATCTGGATGGCCACGTCCACTTCCTGCGCCTCGGCCACGTCCTTCACGATTTGATCATAGCCTCGGTGCTCGGTGTATGGGGCTCGGCCGAGAATCTGGAGGAGCTGCATGGAGCAAGGACGCTACTAGGGGCTCCTGGCATCGCTACTAGTAACATGTGATGAGGGCTATTCTCCAGAAGAGAGACGAATTTGAATCTCACATCTTCGACACGTCATGTTAGCAGCACATGTCATGTTAGTACAAGCTAGTCCGCCCCAGAGCTAGTCATTGGGGTAGCTGTCCTTCTTTAGGTGTGCGATGGGTGAATCTTGGCGAGTCCCATGACTTTTCAGTTGGATCTGGTTTTGGACTTACGCATGAACCAATGAAGTATGCAACTCTGAGAGCTGTTGGCTGAAGTATCTATTATATATTATATATAGTTTTTTTTGTTTCCAATATATATATATAAATACAATGGCCTCCAACCTGCTAGTGATGGCCTCCAACCTAGAAGCGATGGCCTCCAAGCTACTAGCGATGGCCTCCAACCTAATAGGTTGCCAAATAGTCATGAGTTTTCTGAGTAGAGCTCATTGCTCGAACCTGCGGCCTGGATAGATTGATGAAAGTCTGGTTTGCTGAAGGGTCCGATGATTCGGGTAAAGTGAAGCATTGTTCTTGGGGAAACATGTTCGTTCTCTCGTGATGTACTGTCAACTCAGGCAAATTTCCGAACTCTAGTGGATTTTTGGGAGTGAAAATGTGCGGGCTGAAAAAAAACGGCCTGTGGGTGGTATAATCTTCTAAAACAACACACATGAGAGTGTGGAACACTGCTCTGATTTTCACACATTCTACTGCAGCGCTTGCTTGGAGATCTAATTACGCAGCTGGGAGGAGAGAAAAGAACGGCAAACAATCGCATCCAGTCCTCTCGATTCCTTGCATAGTCCTAAAGAAAAAAACATGTAAACTTTGGACCGCTCAAATCGTGGGGAGATTCCAAAAATGTTTGCCTGGCTTGTGTATCTGGTAGACTCTTGTCTACAGCTCCTGTCACCTGAGGTTGCGTTTCCAACCATTTTGTTAATTTTGTTGGACAAAACTAATTACAGCAACATGATTTGGGTCTCGCCAACGACATGTACGGCCATGTTTGTCTCAGCAAGCGAAAACTATATAATTCATATGTTTTTGTCATACCTGCAATTGTTCTGGGATGCAACGTCGTTTCAGTCTCCACATGTCTTGCCGGTGCAGATGTCCGTCACTTTTCCTCTGTACACCCACTTCGCCCACTTGATGTATTTATATACTGTAATGGACGCCAAAGACTATACCAAAGTGAGCCTCCAAAATTGAGCCGCCTGATTTGATACTGTATTATTGATCATTGACCACGTCTGTCCCTCTCATGTTCCAAGGGGCTCAATTGCAAGGTGTTGGCTAGGGCAAAGGAGGCGCAGTCCTGGCACCAAAAATAGGTGCAAAAGGCAGTCCGCAGAAAATGCGGATAAACTATGATAAAATTACTGATAACATCTGATAGCCATAACTCTAGCGCAAGTGGCCATCAACCAGCGTTGTGTGGGAGGATGAGTGCTCCATAGTGCTGCTAAGCCATTGCTTCTGTGTGAGAAGCCCAACAGAATCTAAAAACCCAGCATGGCAGCATGGCATGCCTTGAACTTGGAGCCCCCGCAAAGCACGACAACGCAGTGGGTCATGACGTAGCGAGTAGAAATGGCCTCCAACCTACTAGCGATGGCCTCCAACCTAATAGCGGAGGTCCGGCCATGATTCATGATGACAAAGTATGCAGAAAATGACAATGCCCTTGTGAGGAGGTGTCTGCAGTGGCAGTGATCGACTTATGCACAGACGGATCTAAGGATGCCACTGTACCTGTTCACCTCTCTCGCACCAGGAAATCGCCAGGCGCGGAACCATCGAACTTCACCCGACGCCAAACGCGTGGCGCTGCGTCCCGCTGCGTCCCGCTCGAGGCCGTCTTCTGCTTTCAGCAGCTCAGCCAACTTCTCCACCGCGCCGCCTTCCACAAGGCGTGCCTGGCAAGAAAGGGGCGATCAAAGGGAGACGGTTGTTGACTGTTCCAGTTACAAAACCCTTTCTTCACCAATAAAACTTCGGGTGGGCCGAAATTCGTCACGCCTTTTTTTATCCTAAATCGATTGCACATGATGACACGCCAGTTACACCCCGTTTGGTCGGACCTGCACTCCCTTCACCGGGGTGCCGACTGCGGTCGCCTCGCCTGCGTCTCGTCGTTCTCGGTGGCCAAATGGCCCAAGGCGACCGCGGCATGGATCCGCTCTTCGTATGTCTGAGCATTCCTGGGCGCGATGGGATAGAGTCGGTGAGCGAGAGCAAATCGTTTTCTGGATCGTATGATGTGGGTACCTGGATCGTATGATGTGGCTTGTTTGATAAATGATGGGGTCCAACATTCTATGATTAAACACATGCATTTGTTCTTGTTCATGTTCAAATAATCTTAAAGTGCTTGGTAGAGCAGAACATAAATAGCATTAAATAGCACTGGTTTTTCCGGCTTGGTTCCAGCATCCAAAGGAAGATCACATTGTTAAGTGCAACAGCAGCTCAATGAAGTAACATACACAGGATCCGATCAATGTGTATAGGTATAGGTATACATTGTTATACATTCCTGAATTTGAGGAGATGGTGCTGAAGGAGAATTGCATCATTCTCCAAGGAGAACTGCAAGTTTTCTCTTTATGAATTGATGTCAGGACGTCATCTATTTGTTGGCCACACCAGTCACACGGATGACGTCACATCCAGCATTTCTGTATATACTTGGAGGGTCCCACATGTCAACTCACACTTTGGGATGAATTGGAGAGACCATGATACGTAGGCATTCGTCTCCTTCGGGCATTTCTTGGGTCCCACCACACGAAGTCCTCCTGGGCCACCCAGCAGCATCCCCACCAGCAACCGGCCAGCGCCCTCCACGCTAAAGGCACGCTGGGTCTCCGGGTTGCCCTCTACCAAGCCTCGGCTGAGTGTCCTTCCCGGAATCAAAAAACAAGAGAGGAAAAGAAGTGCAGGCGGTGTCAAACAAGTTAGTAGACTCTTGAGCAAGAACCCCCCAAGAAGGGCTGTACAATCCAAATGGGAGAGTTTTACTAATCGAGAGTGCCATGAGTCATGGATGTTTTTTTGTTTTTTCCAAAGAGATAAACATACATACAGCATAAATATGTCTGTGCAGTGTTACAGAAAACACACATCATCTACCCAAGGCTGTTTCCTTTGTATGCCAATCAACAACATGTCACATACAGACTTTATCTGCAAACTTCAATTCCCAACTGAAAGAGATTGTTGGCTACTGCTAATAGAGCGCAATAAAATGCATTTTGAAGCATATTCATTCATAAAAAGCCAAGCAAAAGCGGAAGATCAACAAACAATGGCAAAATAATGCTCTGGACAGCATCTGGAACAACGAAGACAACTTGACTGTTTGGCCTCTTCCAGTCTGCCAATGAGCACCTAGAGGTAGTAAAACCAGCAAACAAATGCAAACAATGCCTTTTTTACACAAGTTGCTCACTCTACCCTCAGTGGTCTCTTCACTGAAAGCACATAGCGAAATTGGTTTCTGGCTGCCATCCCCGGAACAATTCTATATTGTAAGTTTACACACACTTTGCCCTCCAAAATCGGTTCGCAGTGAATCCTTGAAGGGGGTGAGTATATGTATGTATATGTATATATGATCGCCAAAGGTGTTTTAGTTAAATGTGCTTCTCGCTTCTTCTAATGGGTTGTTGCTGGGGCATGCTGGCTCTGGCCATCGTGGTTTCAGAGTCGATGAGCAAAAATAAACAAATCTTAGGTATACATGAGCTGGTTAAGCCATCCATGGTTCTTTAACCATTTGCTCATGTCCTCCACTAAACCTGATGCTCTAGTTTTGTCTTCTAGAAAATCTGTTAAAGGCATTTCATTCCAAGTAGGTCTAATTTCATTATAAGTAGGCCTGTGAACACTTGCCGCTGATCCTGCAGCTAGTGGTTCATGTGTTTTTGTGGCACGCCATTTCTGACTGGAAGCAATGATGGAAAGAACATGCACCAGGTGTTGCAATTGTAAGAATCAATGAGTGGTCACTTAGAGCTCTCTGACATATATTCCTAAAGCATTGGGGATTTTTGTAAGTTGTTGCCATCCCTGCGGTTTTTGGAGCCCATGGCAAAGCCATGTGGGTCTGAGATGCGGAGAAGGCAACTTGGCACTTTCTTTGAACATGGAATACAAATTGTTCACTTATGTGCTCATGATGAGCGGTCATGTCTAAATTATCCCGATTGCAACTTAGGTATTTGCAATCACTGGCTCGGTCTAGAGCTCTACCTGGTGAACCTTCTGTAGAACAACGAAGCATTGTTGTCAGGAAGGAAAAGGCAGAGGGGAAAACTGCCTCAGAATGCTCACAGGCAGACTCTAGCATTCCTCATTTTAATTGGGAAAAAATCAAAGAGTATGAAAACATGAAACTTGCAGCTGATGCCGATCTAGAAGGTTCTAAGGGCAAATTAGAACAGCCGCGGAAGCGTCCCAACTACAACAACACACTTCGAAGATTGAATCGCAAGTTGGTTCTTCGTCTTTCGTAGCTTGTCGTCAATGAGTGATTGAAAGAAAAATCATTTTGGCATGACAATCAGTGTTCAAGCAGGTCAAATTAACATGTCAGGTACAAGGCAAATGGTCGTTCCCAAGCTCGAGTGGAACGACTATTCAAAACGCCTCTTTGCAAGTGCTCTCGAGGAACATGCTTCAGTCAGTTTGCAGGGCTCAAGGACAAGGAGGAGCTGCTCAAATTTCTTCAGTGTTTTTGGAGCTTTTCCAAAACCCAGCAAGATGCTTTAGACGGAACCTCAGTTGGTCTGAAAAAAAGTCGTGTAAATAGGAACAATGGTGGGCGTGTCATGGAGAATAGTTTTGAACCTACTAAGTTACACAATGTGGTTGGACATCAGCGAGATGGGTCTTCATCATCATGGAAACTTCTTCGCAAGATTTGCAGCAAAATTTGTGTTGCTGCTTTGCTAGGGGTTGGCAAAGCACGTTTGAGACTGGCCAAGAGCGGATTCCTGGACAGAAGATATGCAAAGTTTGGTGGAGTCCCTTGCTTAAACCCTTTTTTTGCATGATGCTTCAAGTTCATTCAACTTTCTTCAAAAACAACTCAACATGTTTGTGTGACTTTGTAGTCTTCCCAGGTTGGAAATCGAATTCCTGTAGCCTACCAGAAGGTGGATCGCTTTCTCTTGCAAAAGTACTTGGATGCTGCAGGAATGTTGCCAACAGAGTTTCCTGATTGCGATTGCAATACATCAAATGCACACTTTCTGCTCCAGATATTTGCTTCAAATTGATTTACCCCAAAGGTTTAAACGCGCTGCACGTGTCCGAAGCAGTGGACCCTTGTCCATTCAGATCTACACTGAAGGCCAAAAACGTTTCACGAGCACAGACAGTACCTTAGCCGCCCTACTTGGAACACATGGAACCAGCTGTTGACTCATTAAACATTTCCACCTATGTCCAACTAATTAACTAAACCAAATTGATCCATGATCAGGTGACTCCGATCAATCACCAGTGGGAGGCGACGATTCGTTGGCGGTGCCCGGGGAACGGATTGAAGATGATGAAGAACTCAAGCTATTCTGCATGGGTGACAAAGAAATTTTCACGAAGTGGTTTAGATGCATTTTGTTGGATCCTCGAAGAATGGTTTGACTACTCTACTGCTGCCACAAGTGCCTAAGGTATGCAGAGAATGTTGACCACCTGCCAAGACGTTGGTTGGCACCAGGTTCTGTCAAAATGCTTTGGGGCGAATTTGAGAAAGAGTGCTCGTATCTTGGGTCATGAATTGAGGCCTTGATTGAAGTGCATGCTGGTGTCTCTCCTACTCCTACACATTTAGCAGCAGCATAGCAATCAGGTATGAACACTTCTGGAGAAGATGGTCTACAAAATGGTCAAAGGTCTTGGGCTTCTTACCACCATCCTCGCATGGCAAGTGCAACAGGTGTGTGCAGCACAAGAAAGATTATGAGAGCGCTCGAGCGCCTTAGCTCATTTATGATGATGTTTATGGGAGTTGGCAAAAACCACTTTGTACTTTGTGCATGGTAGTATCCAGCATCACTTCAGGGTCCACAAGAGAAGTACGAGATCCTTTCACGATATCGCAGCCACCTGGACATTGTGCGCAAAGACAGACGGCTGGAGGAAAGCTCCAGGCTCCAGTAGATTTGATTTCAATAATTTGCGAACAAAGCTCAAACATTTGCTCAGACATATTATTAAGATGTTGTCGTCCTGGTGCAGAACGATGCATTCCCTCGTCCGCTTGGTGGTAAACCAGCCACATTGTTTCTACATTGGGTGTCTTGTTTGCATTTATCTTTCAGTTTGCAACCAACTGAGAGCATGCTAAGAACACAGTCCATGGTTTATTTGTTACCCGTCATGGAAATCCACAACAGCTCGTGCTTTGGTGCAGGATGGTATGGACCAAAGCAAGTGGAGCATACCTCGAGAGCGCACTGACAGGCTCAGCAAGACGTTTCAGACCTTTGACCGGCCTCGCGCCAAGTGTCACGCCATCTGGGCGCATTTTGAAGAGATAGCTTTCTTCATAGCTGATCCACGCGTTTCTGCAGACTCCAGCTTTGTAATTGAATGTTCTTGCAGAGCACTTGAACGGATCATGCAAAGATGCAGGGCAGCCAATCGAGAACCCCCGAAGGAGTTGATCATATGGAGTGACAACTGTGTGCGGGAGTCAAAGAATTCCCCGCTGATGCTGTATTTGTGTGTGCTTGTCTTAAAGAACAAGTTTCGCTTCACATCGATACAAATGTCCCAGGTGGGACATACCCACAACACCTTGGATAGGGTTTTTGGCCAGTTGACTATAGCCTTTCGCTACATGTCTACGTTGACTGATATCGATGACATTTGCACGAGCCTTTGATGAATATCACAGGTCCATTCAAACATTTTTGTGGTGCCATTCATGTTGTACGTGTTTGTTTTCGTGCAGAAGATAATAACTGGACATTGTCTTTCTAGAAGAGTTGAGGAAGATCAAAGATTGCTTGGAGAAGCTGCAGTTCAAGGAACCCGTGCATTGTGAGTATGTCAACAGCGTCCGGGACTGGAAAACATGGTTGCGTCCCAAGTTCTGAAATTATGTTACAACATAGCTCTTGAACCAATGCCACAAACCTATGACTCACCTGCTCAATCTCAGAGCGGCTCAGGGTGGAGGGGCTTGGTTGCGAGTTCAGCGGCGGCCTTCGAGACAACACAGACTCTGCCGTGCACTCGTTCATGTTTATGAGACGCATAGGCAAGGTCCTGATTTAAGAGATTTAGAGATTCAGGGGTGGACTCGATGTCAAAGGAAGTTTCCAAGCAAAGTAACTGAGCAGTAAAAGATGTGCCACTTGCAATGGAATTGCATCGCAGATCTTCCATCAAACCTTCGTGTGGTATCCTCTGGTCCTGGAGCTCGCCATGTGGCGGAAGACCCTCGGGATGTTGTGGTCTTAGTGAAGCATCATGCCTCAGATGCAAATTTAGCGCAAGAGATTCAACTTGCTGTTCCTTTTTGTCGCCTGGAAAGAATCTCTCCGTTGCCTACGACGGTGAGAATGTACAAGAGCATCACCGTAGATCGCAAGAAGAATTGGCTTGAGCTTGTGCATTTTGTTCTTCAACAACGCAGGTCCAACCTTCAGGTGGGACGAACTGCAAGGTTTCTGCTCGATCTAATCAATTCCCCAGATCGGCCAGATCACATGGTGCCCCTTCCATGGCTCGAAGCAAATGAAGCTGGAGCAGGTCCACCAAGTCTTCCCGACGCACTTGACCGGCTTGCGCCGGTCATCAAATTCAAAGCTGTTGTTCGTAGGTGATAGATCCCAATTCAGGTTTGTTGCACGTGTCCTTGATTGGGACGTTG